CTGGGGGCAGGCAGGGGCGCACGGGCAGGGGCAGCGGGACCAGGCGGGCAGCGGCGGTGCAGAGCTGGCAGGGAGCACCCAGGGCAGCGCTGCTACACCCTGAAGTGCAAGTGCTGGTGCAGAAAACCCACCCTCCTTATCCGCGGGTGGTGGTTGCTAACCTGCGTGGGCAATGCGGCTCCACCACGCTGCAGGGAGCATCCCACCCCTCCTGCCCCTCTGAGTCCGTCCAAAACCCAATCCCGAAGCAGGAGCTTTGGTACACGGGAGAGGCTTGCCCCCCCCAAAAAGCACCAGAACTTTGGGCAGAACCATCTGCACCGGACCTGACACGGAGCAAAATGGGACAGAGCAGGGTGAAGGAGCAGCCGAGAGGTTTTAGTCCCAACGAGGGGAACATCCCTGCAGCGATGGGTCAGCTGTGCTCAGCAGCGTTAGCACCCGGCAGGGCTCAGCCCCAGGGACAACCCTCCCCGTCACCTCCTGCACAGCCCCAGCTCCTCTGGGTGACAGGGCCCCCCCATCCCCTGGGCTCTCTCACCCTACCTGGAGCTGTGCACCCCGCTCAGCACCCGGGGGCTGGGGGATGCTCGGGGGGAATGCTGTGTCTCCAGGGAACAGGAATCCACAGTCCCTGCAGGCAGTCTGGGTGTGCTGCCCAGAGAGGGGGGTACCCTGTGCCCCTGTGGAGGGTTAGGGGTGGTGGGGACAGGCACCACTACTCCCACCACTATGGCACACCATCACCATGGCCCATTTCAGCACCTCTCCGTCACACAGCACAGCACCCACCCCAGTGCCACGGCTCACCCTGCAAAACAAGGGACCCAAACACCGATGAACTCTATCTCAAAACCCTCCTGGAAGCCATAAAATAAAGCAGAACAGCTTCTTCTCCCAGCTTGTCCACTCATTCCCCAGAGCCCCTCCTGCCAGGGAGCGCTGGGGAAGGGCAGACCTGCCCCTGGCCACTCGGTCACATCAGTCCCTGGGGGGGTTCCAGCTATTTTCAAGCCAGGTAAAGCAAATCCTCAGGGTTTTGGTTTTAAAACCAGAGCAATGCAAAGAGGAGAAACAACTGAGTATCATCTCTGGGGTCAGAGCTGAAGACCAGGAACTCACGAAGCATTAGTGTAAGTCGCCCCTCAGCTAACAGCCGACACAAGCGGGCTGGCTGGGGAAGGCTGAGGGGTAGACTGAAGGAATAGTGACAAACCCATCCCAGGCACTGCAGCTCTGCAAGGACGGGCAGGCAGCCAGGCCTGTGCTCCGGGGATTCGCAGAGTACATTTGCGAAAACAAGGCGCTTTTACGCCGAGGGCAGTTTTGGAAAGTACACGAGATTCTTCCAACTGAGAGATGAAGCCCAGGAGAGAAAGAAAAAAAAAAA